TAGGGGAGAATTTTCTCCCAGACTGTGGGAGCCAAAAGGTTAATCTACACCTCACAACGTTGAATAGCTGTAAGATAAGTACTGCATGCTTGCACAGATCAAAAATGACCCATTAACCCTTTGGTGCACTTATCCAATAAAGTTAAGATTAATTATACTTATACTTCAAACAACTTGTGTATTGGGCAGTGTAAAAATTGTCCCAACTTTCCATCCTTGGTTTGATCTAAGTTAGTCCATCTTCAGGTTGACATAAATGTATCTTATAAACTTTAAGGAGGCATAGAAAGCCACTGTGCTGAGCATCAGGAAGAACACATAGCATGTCAGCAGTGTTTATCCAAAAAACTATACTGACTGAAGCATTCCAGACATGTTGGATCTCTTATACTAGTAAAACATAGCAGAACCAAACACAAAAATAGATGTGTACCTGAAACAGACAAGTAAAGGAAGCTAAATAACAGTCTGATTCATGGAGAAATTTTAAATTAATAACACATATCAAAAAGTTTAAATATTACTAAGAGAAATTATTTTGAAAATTCTGAAGAACCTATAGCTAAAGTAAACATAGAAGTGATACTGTATGTTATAAGGTAAACTGACTTTTATGTCCGATTACATCCAGCTGCTCTTAGAATATTGTCAATTCTTTCTAGAATACAATTATACTCATGGGCCTTTAAGCCGAAACCAGCACAGATTCAAGGGTACATCATTTTGAAAATATCATTGTTTTACTACTTACAGAACCTTATTGCACATAAATATTTGTGAACCAGCAAGAAAATATACAACCCTGAATAGCAGAAAACCTCCGACAACCATCCTCACCAAGGTGCTACGATACCTAGAAGATATGACATAACATCAGAGGTCAGATAATATATTTAATCAAAAACACTACTACGTGAGTGTATAATCCATTTCTATGAAAGAAGAAAAAATCCAAACAAATGTAAAAGAGGATTATACAAAGTACGGATGAAATATCACTATTTTTTTGTTGAATACTAAAGGTAAACTGAAGTCTTACAAAATGCTGCACCAGAAAAGTAATTGAAGCAAAGCTACTGTGCGCTCCGAAAAATTGAAAAGAGATTTATAAAAATTGTTAGACAAAGAAAACTGATGTGAAAACTGTAAGAAAGAACAGATATGGGTAAGCATAATGGTACCTGCTATTGATGATTGCGCTTTGGTTGACATTCATAATTAAGGACTAGCAAAGTAAGGGAAATGATCTTATTAGAATACTCAAAAGTATTAAGAATAACTGATTGTTACCACGGTATGGGAGGAATCTTTCTGGGAATGTTCTTAGTTCTGCGTGGGGCATTAAAGCTTCCAGCCCAGTTCTTGCCAAATATTCCAACCAGGATGGTTAATGGAAACCCAACTTTAAGAAAAGCAAATCAAACATGGAACAATTCTATGTACATGTAATCATCATATAACACATTGAGTAATAATGTCAAAGTATCGCTCACTGATGCATTTTTCTTTTTCAGTTTTACTCTTTTCCCACAAAAGTATGATTATCAAAGGGATAAGCTGTCATCTGACTTGGCAGTCAGTTGAACCGTTTTGATTGGGAAAAGTATTATCTAAGTTATTGACTGTCAATTCATTGTTGGGACACTGATCAAATGAGTCACAATCACAATATCCACTGGAAACAATTCTAAGCAGCAAACAAAGTTTGAAATATTTGACGGCAGTTTTGTCAGCCTACTCAAGAACAGTGACTGTATTTCTGCTTATACTTCACTGTAATTAATAACTTTGCTTTCACACAGCTGGTGAATCTGAGGAGCAAGTAGCAAGTAAGTGAAGAGATCCTAGTTTAGGCATTTTGTGGGTTCTTGAAGCATCTTTTTTAATTTGGGAACCGCTGGATAAATTCTATTAGAAAAATGGTTAAGGACTAATATATTTTTAAACGCTTAAATAGAGACAATATTGAACAGTTGAGTACTAAAGTAACTTTTCTCTAAATACATCATTTCTGAAGCTAAAAAAGTGGGTAAAGTGCTTGAGACTGACATGGATGTCGCAGAGGAAGGTAACATTCCTTATAAATAGCCAATATAAGTTAAAATGGTCCACACGATGCCTCATAGACAGAGTTTCAGGCAAAATTTTTTTTGACGCGAAATTGACCTGGTGGAAATAAGAGAGACAGCCTCTTAATAAGGCACATAAATAACTGAAACGTAAAGTCTACGATTAATAAAGTTCATAAGTATTCATTAAAATTACAAGTAAACATTTCAGAGAAATAAATCAGTTATCAATGAGCGAAAATACGAGGTACCGTACGGTGTGACGGATAGATTTTGCTGAAGTGTGTTACAAGGCTTGAAGACGTTGGAACTGGAGTCTGGGCCGGAGGTGAAGGACCATTTACTTCACAGTTGAAAAATAAAAATGACCGGAGACCTCTGGAAAGAATAAACAATCTGCAAATCTATCCGTCACGCTCTCCAAACATTTTGATGAATATGAGACAAACCCCAAATCCGGTATAGATTAGACAAGAATCAAAATTCAATCAACAAGGCCAGACAATGGATGTTTGTTATTCTTTCTAGGAAATACAGGAATCTGTTATCCAATGTGATCACATTTTAATCCCGGCGTCGGTTTTTTTTTTTAAACCAAAAATTCTATCCTTTTTCGAGGAACTATTTCTAGAGATCTCATCCAATTTTCAGCTGACACGTTGGAAAAAATAATTTTGTCTCAAATCCGTCCTATTACTATTTTTGCTGACAGTGACTTCTCTCGAGAGCAGTAAGTTACATGTCCTACATTTTGTAAGAAAAGGCAACACTGAAAACACCAAAAAGATAACCGCCAAGGATTATTGCTATAGAAAAAACGGATTAAGCAGGATATAAAGTTTATTTTAAAAAAAGGATGAACGAGGAATCATGTCACAAAAGCTGTGCATGTCTTGACTTTCTAACTTGTTATTGGCACGTGCACTGCTCCTTACAAGTTGTAAGGCATATGCCACCATCTTAAAATTAGCCGTGAAGATTAATATTACGACAGCTGTATTACGAATTGAAATAGCGCTGCAGAAAAAGGAATAAGAAAGATAAAAAAGTAAAAGGCCTCGCTAGTTGTTTTTCCACATGGACTAATTGCAATGTATGCCTTGCAGGTCTTGCAGGACTTTCAGTATTTCCGAGGAACAACTCAAGTGTCTTCTGATAATCGCCTGTTTCCTGTTTTGGTACTATCAACCAATCACAAACAAAAATGCCTTTTCGGAGAAGTAAGTCTATACCTACAGCGCCAGCTTATTATTTTAAGGGCAGTGCCCCGTGAACTTACATAAAGTCAGAAAGATTCTTGCAGGAAAGCAATGGCAGATAATGGAAGCGAGAAGGATACAAACAAACCATGGACCACTAGCAAAGAATCTGATCGAGAGCCAAAAGATATTGGTAAGTTTAGTTAACCAAACTCGTCGTCCCATCTTTCTTTTCCTTTTGAGCGACTGACAACCGAAAAGTAACGCATTGGTCTTGAAGGAAAATTAGGTTTCTCCAGCACAAGGTGAAAAGCGAACAGGAATGTAAAGCTGAGAAAACGTACAGGATCATTACACTAGGTCGATATTCGACTGTTGACCGATACTCGATGGAGACCCAATCGTGCGCCCAAAATACGCCGGCACTGCAGGCTAAATCTCGACCGATATATCGACCGAGTATCGGTCAAAATCAAAATCGGTGGAAGCGAGAAGGATGCAAAGAAACCATGGACCACTGACAAAGAATCTGATCGAGAGCGAAAAGGAATTAGTAAGTTTAGTTTAACCAAACTCGTCGTTCCTCTTTCTTTTCCTTTTGAGCGAATGACGACTGAGAAGTGACGCTTCGGTCCTGAAGGAAGATTAGGTTTCTCCAGCACAAGGTGAAAAGCGAACTGAAGTTGACAAAACGTACAGGATCATGTTACTCTGGGTACTCTCGACCGGTCTATCGGTCGATATATTGGTCGGGAATACAATAGAATAGAATAGAATACTATTTTATTAATGATGATTAGGAGTAAGAAAATGAAAGTAAGTAAGGTACATCAAGAAAGAAAAAATAAGTAAAACAATTTAAAAGTGCATAAATGATATGTGTATACATTGACCATTGCCTATTGCTATAGTCATATTCACATATTTTAAAAATACTTTAATCTCGCTTTAAACAGATCAAAAGATTCGGCTTCAACCACATACTATGGTGAATTATTCCATTCTTTCACTATGCGAATAAAAATGAATATTTATAGGAGTTAACTTTTGCATTTTCACACCCAATTTATTTCGATACTCGACCGATATTTGGGCCGCCAATCGATCGATAGTCGGTCGATACTAGGTCGATAGTCGACAGTGGGCCGATACTCTATACTCGGTGGAGACTCGGTGGATAGTAGATAGTCGATAATAATCTCCACCGACATATCGACCGACTATCGACCAAGTCTTGACCGAGTATCGGCCAACTATCGACCGAACATCGATCGACTCTCGACCGAACATCGATCGACTCTCGACCGATATATCGACCGATACACCGGTCGAGAGTATTTACAGTTAACATGATCCATCGCACTCTTGCTCTTCGTGTGAAACGACCAATAATTCAGATGTTTGGGTGATGCAATGATCACGAGGGGCGAGCTCGAATTTAGTTCAGCCTTCATCTGACCCTCCACGATTCAATTTAAGTAATTTCTACGACTGCTGTTTACCCATGGGGATAATTTTGTTAGATACCATTTCTACTGTGACTAAAGCAAAGACATACTTGGTTCATTTTTGACAAATGCGACAAAGCAAAGACAAAAAGTAAAAAAAAGTAGAATTTAAATTAATTTGCATATAACATAGGCATGCAGCATCTGATACTTTCAAGAGGTTTGAAATAATTTTTCACTGGAGATTCTGTGACAATTGTTCGGCTGCCGGGCATAGAGCCATCGTTTAGGTGCTAAAAAATTCCCATTGGGTTTTTGCGCTATTTTCGTTTTTCTATTTTCTGTGACAACACAATTGCAGTAAGATGTGTATTTCTATCTATATTTGTAGTATGTTGTACAACCGTGCAAAAAGGTTTGGGTTAAAATGATTGGCTCTGTCTCTGACGGATTTAAGTCATCGGAACAAGTTCTTTAAAAATCTTTGGTGTATCTCCAGTGGATTCTGGATAGTGTCTTGTTGGTCGGTTTTTGTTGAGAAGCTCTGAAACCCTCTGACATTTTTCTTTTTTTGTGCTATTTCACCTCAGCTAAAGGACGCTATGGTCTCCCTGAGAAAGCTACGGTAACGGTTGGGGTTACGAAAGAGAGAATGCCATTTGGTAAGAAGGATGGATTGAGCTATAGCAGCAGTAGCAAGTGTACTATTAGTTGATGTCATTACTGAACAAGAGCTTTTAGTGTAAAGCACCGATGTTACTTAACTCTTGCTTCTTAGAAAAAGACTTTTTGATCTCCTAGATAACTAGTAGAGTTACATTTGAAAGATGCATTAAAGAAGTGGATGCGTCATCCAAATCTATCGCGACTATGGTCTACGCATTTTGATTGGTAAAACTGACTCGCCTTCCTTTTCAACCATGAAAATGCAAAACTCAGAACCAACCGTGGCTTGGTCACTTCGCTTTTCCCGCGCTTCAGGTCAGCTCCATCCATGTATTTGCTGTGAGTTCTCATTGGCTCGTTTTGAAATTTCCTTCCTTCTGATTGGCTCTTACGATTACGATACCTTGGGTCAGCAGTGCAATTGAAAATGAGAGGTTCCTTCTGCATTTATGAAACTCGTCATCAACATTCCAGCGTCGACGAAAATTTTCTGGACTAGTGCATTTCTTTGGATTCCTTGTCAACCATTTGCAAATTTCGTGGTGAGAAGGTTTCTCCTTGACATATCTCCGTGCTTAACCTTTACAGCCTGATAACAGTATGCATATTCTCCATACTGTTCTCTACACATTTCCTATAAAGCTCACAAGGAGGATTTTTGTTTAACAGTCAAGAGTTTTATGAGCACGTGATCAATTCCTTTATTCTCGTTACCTTAATGTTTGATTTAGGGGCGATACTTGTTAGATTAGTTGTTCGTTACCAGACTTCTTAGGTTCTAGAAAGACCGCGTTGCATGTTGGGGGCCATGTGCTTTGAGACAGCCATCTTGTAAGTTAGTTTGCGTTAGAAATAAATTCCTTGTTTTGAGGCCTTAATATTACACTGTCGGGAGAAATTAGATGCTGGTCACTCTAAGGGGTTAATGGGTTAAAAATCTGGCATGGTAGTTATCAGCGAAAGCTTACTGAGGAAAATCTTGACGTTTGCTATTGAACGAGACTGCATTTTCGATCAGGAACAAATTGCGCACAACCACGATTTTCTTATAAACAGCATTTAATAAGGCACATAAATAATTGAAACGTAAAGTCTACGATAAATAGAGCTTATAAATATTCATTCGAATTACAAGTAAACATTTCAGAAAAATAAATCGGTTACGGAGTGTAAAAAGAAAATCTCAATGAGCGAAAACACGAGGTACCGTATGTCTTGAGCAATAAAAGCCTTCACTTTTGAAGTTTATTTTTTTCGTCCTGGATTATTTATCTTCCAGCAGTTTTCACTTTGCTCTATTAATATCGAACTATCGAAACCTGTTTTTCTACTTATATTGCATGCCGGGAAGTGGATTGTCTAGATCACTGTAGCTGTCCTTTTACACTTAAGTTTTGTAAAGAAATGCGGAGAATTCAGTGCTGTCCTCAATTCATTACTATTCTCAACTTCTCTTTTCTTTACTACCCACTTTGGAACTGAAATTGTAGCGATAACTTGCAAACTTATCACTGCCAGGAAAAAAGGAAGATCCCAGAAATTTATCTTATTTTTTACAGACAGAAGGAAGGGATTTCGACTCTTTGAATTGGAAAATGATCGTATTGCGTTAAACAACTGAAAACAACCGTGACAAGAATTAAGTAACAAAAACTAAAAAAGTAACATATCGATCTCCTTGTTCTAAGAAAAAAAAAATTAAAAATCAATTTGAAAAAATAACCCAATACAAGATAAAAGGATGAAATAATAATAACGTATTAATACATTAAACGTTGTGGCAAATTACTAAATTACAAAGGATTGCTTTGGACTTCACGTTGTCTTCTACAAATGGTTGCAGTTTACATCTACCTTATACTCACGTACGATATGTAAGCCATAATATTAAAGATAATAAGAAACTTTTTGAGTGTAACAATACTTAAATTTCTATTTTGCACCTTGCTTTCATTTTATCCAAAAGTTTCCCCGCGTAAGCTAGAGGACGAAAAGAAAACCTGACAGATTTCTATATACAGGCGAAAACTCGGATTGAAAACATAACATCTGTGTACCTGAAAAATGCCGAGTATGACCTCTTAGATTTACCCATTTAACTGTTGTATAAACGATTTTTTGTGACGAAGAGAAAATATCAAAGGTTCTAAGACCACTGAAGATGCGTGTAAATTTTTAGTATAACCTATCTGCTAAAATCTATCATTGTAATATAGTCTTTTCAACTTTCTTTAATTTTTGTGAGCTTCCGTGCTTTCTTGAATTATTTCTGTGAGAAAAAAATTCCTAACACATCATAACATCATTACCTACATTAGCGTCTGAGGAATAACAAAATTTATTTTCCGGATGCATATCAGAGGGCTGGAATCAAATTTCTCGAATCTGATTGGCTAATCTCACCCCCGTAACCGGCGTAATTCCGACGACAACCTGAAATTTTTTCCGCACCATTGGCGGCAAAGCGAAAAACCAGCAGAAAACATAAATAAGTTTTTTACCGGCCTAGGTTGGCCCGTGGGGAAAAAACTGTGCTCTTGTTCTCGAGCACGATTATTCCTCGTGCGGACCTCCCGCTCGGTAGATAACATAGGTATGTTTTCAGTTTTAATGTTTCACAAATCCATTAAGTTGACAAGATCCTTCCCTAAACTGCACGTCATCCAATGCTATATCTCCCGTGTATCCTCGGCCTCGCGTTCCTTCAAACGTAATCTGCGATGAAAATAATTTAAAATATGGAATCACTTCATAGTAATATGTAATTGTTGACCCACTGGAGGGGGGCCGAGTGGAATCATAAGCTAAAACCTAGGCGCCTAGATGGTAAGTTCAGCGCGCTGCTCACGCTCTAAAATAAATTGAAGCAGGCGGAAATTTCTGTTCGTAAATTTTGAGCTTCACTGCCATGTCAGCAACGTATAATGAC